CCCACATGAACCTCATGACATAATATCCACATTCAGTACTTCCGGTTTGTCGTGCAACCTGTATAATTCATAAATATGTAAGAATCCTTAAATTATTCCTATATCAAATTAATCAATTGGCATTGTGTTTAAGCAAGAAAAAACACTAATGATTTCTAACATTTCAACTAAGTTTATAGTTGATAATACAAATTAGGCAATAAGAAAAGCAATCTTCCAAATTCTGAAATCAACTTCCTTCGAGAGTAGCAGGCCATTTGCAAAATAGTCCGCAATAAGCTAAGACACTCTACCTCTAAGGCAGAGTGGTCGTGGGGGGATGTGGGAGAGAAGTATGGGGAAGTGGTCGTGGTCGGCGGGTGTTTTGATTTTCAAGAAAGGGGGAGAGCAAGTGAGTTACGCGGGCGGGGTGAGGGGAAAAGGGGAGGAGGGGAAAAGAGGGGGGTAATTTGTTTGGGGTATTTGTAGTGTGTATAGGGTGTGTACAATGGGTGGGTACAAAGAGCAAATTTGTTTTTTTTTAAAATATATGAAGTGCTATTCAGCTATTCGCCCCAGGTTTTCAAAAGCAGTGAATTCACTCCTACTGTGATACTGTCCTACATCATGTTTTTTAAACTCGTATAGTCGTATTATTATTAAAGACTTACTCCGCAGTCCTAACTTCTACATCATATAGTTACTCCTTCCCTTCTTAATTAAATGTTCTTTTAGAGTTTTAGGCTTGTGCTCGGGTTTTAAGATAAAAATAGTAGGGGTATTATAGAGTGTGTAGAGTAAATGATAAAGTAGGACAGAGAGTATATTAAGAAGAGTAAAGTGATGATAAAGTTGGAAAGATGGTATATTAAGAAGAGTAAAATGATGATAAAGTAAGAAAGAGAGTATATTAACAAGATTAAAGTGATAATAAAGTAGGAAAGAGAAAGTAGTATACATAAGTAATTGGGGTAAAAGTAATAAAAGTGAGGGTATTCATCTCAAAAACTTTCCTAATATGGGAAGAAAGACAAGTATTAAAAAACAGATCAAAGTGGAATAAGAAAAAATTACGGAGTATTAAAGAACGGATGGAGTATTAAAGAATTGTTACTACTATTTCCTCTCTCCCAAAATGATTTGCAAAATCAATTTTATCGATCGATATAGTTTCATTTTATTTACTTATCCAACATATCAATTTTTTATTATAGTTTAAATTGAACTTTGAGATTTTACAGAACTATTATTATTATGAAAATGCCAAGATTATAATGAGTAATATAGCTACCTCCGTCCCTTTTTAGTTTGCCAAGTTTGACTTTTCCAGTCAAAGATGATAAACTTGGATCTATTATTTTAACTAATATATTTATGTAAAAGTTAATAAATTTATACTTTTATGATAGTATTTTCAACAAAGAACATTTTCATATAATTTTCTTAATATCAATATTACCGTGTATAAATATATAACCGGTCAAAGTTGAACAACTTTAACTTGAAAATTTGTGTTTGGCAAACTAAAAAGGGACGGAGTACGTTTAATTTTAGTAATATTATGGTAAAAAAAAACCCTTTTTCTATGAGGGGTATTCTTGTTTGGTTTGGTAGGTAAAAAGTTTGAAGACTTTGTTCTTCAATTGGGGAAATATCGTAATCATGCTTAGGTATTTACTACTCCCTTCGTTTCAATTTCTTTGACACACTTTTCTGGACGTTTTAAAATAAATGTCACACTTCTTTATTTCATTATTTCGTAAACAAATCTATATCAATACAGTACAAAACAGTGTCAAACAAAGTCAAACAATGAAAATAGTCTTAAGACAATGTACTCTATAATAAAATTTATCTCCCAGTAATTTTTTTTCTTAATTTTTGTGAAGTCAATGTGTGTCAAACAAATTGGAAGGGAGTGAATCTATTTCTACGTGTTCTAAACCTCAACATACGGCCTAACGTTACTGTACGAACTTCACTGAAATTAGTAGAATTTAGGGCGTTTTATTCAGATTTGCTCCATCACAATAGAACTATTATTATGCTAGATTAGACTTGAATAATAATAAAATACCCTAATTATTATTATGCTAGATTAGACTTGAATAATAATAAAATACCCTTATTAGTACCATATATATATACCAAATCAGGGGTGTTCCCGATTTGGATTGTGGAGAATTTTAATGGAGTTTAGAAACCCGTCTGAATTTAGGTGTCTCCGATTTGGATTTCTGTGGAATCCATGAAAATAAGGGTGTCTTCAAACATTACATGGATTTCTATTGCTACTTATTTTGATGGATTTTAATGGATTTTGATGGATTTCTATATATAAAAACATTCCACCACAAATCTTGTAGAATCTCTCGGGTTTCAAAATTCATTGATCTTTTAAAATCCATTCAACTCCTAGTTGTGGACACCCCAAAAGTTTAAACCAAATTAGTTTCAATAATACAAAACGTCAAAATGTAATGTTATGGGGAAACATAACGTCATAAGTTTCAAGAATTTATTTGACTGCCTTCCCGATCGAATTTTGAGCTGAAATTTGGTATGGATAAACTAGACTTAATGAAGAACAGGCTCACAAATTTTCATCAAAAAATTCCATCGGGAAGGACCTTTGATGGCTTTGTCCGTACGGAGCTTCCTGTACATCCATATGTAGAGGAACAGCCCTCTACCTCTGAAAATGCCAAGATTATAGAGACTTGACCAAATTAATATAGCTAGCTGCAAGAGTGTTCTAAAAGGCATAAGGCGTGCCGAAGCAACACGACTGAGCCCGAAGCCTTTGAAGCCTAGACGAGTTTAGGCGAGAACTAGGCGTGAAAAGGCCTTTTGATTTTTTACTCATTATTTTAATATTTCTACAACAATTGCTAAGTATGCAAGTGTAATATTAGATAATACTTCGTATCACAGTATCATACTATTTTATTTTTCAATAAAATAAATTTCTCAAAACCATAAATCATAAATGGTTTACTATCCAAAACTGCAAGTACTAAACGATTTGGCGAGGTCTAACATTTAGTCTACCTCAACCATGACCCGTCAATAACACGGCCATCAAATTATTTGAGACCCCTATTTTAATTTCAAATTTCGGTCCGTGATTACATTCTTGACTAAAAAAGTTAATCACGGATTTTTAACACTACGGTCCATGACTAAAAAAGTTATTTATGGATTTTTAATATTACGGTCCGTGACTAAGTCCGTGACTACGGACTTGTTTTTTGTAGTGGTTTATATTTATGAGTAATTTAGTTTTTAAAATCACACATTTCGATGTAAAGAATATAAATTTAGAGTGATTTTTCATGGTGGTTTAAGACATGTTTTAGAAAATTACCTGAAAATTTTAAAAAGTATTGGACCTAAGAAGTAAAAACTCTCAATTGTTGAATCTTCATTTGTTTACTTTATACTACGTATGTAATATTGGTTTCTAATAAAAAATCATAAAAAAATTATTTATTTTGATACAAAGTATTTTTTTATATATAAAAATAGGATAATAAATAAAAATGTAAGCAAGGATATTTGAAAACATGACCGAAGAAAGACATTATTATCACAAATTAATTATAATTAATTAGGAAAAAAAATCATGCATCGAATCATATCATTCTAACTTATTCCTAAATAATTTCATGGTTCAGTAATTCTACAAGCTAAAAAAATCAAAATCATACGTACGTGTTCTCACTTTTCAGAGATCAGAGGTGTTCATTTGAATCATTTCAATTGGTTTTAGAAGATACTCCGTAAATGTATATATGTATATGTGTGTGAGTGCGAGTGAGAGAGATCTTACGGTTGGAAATATACTATTATTGCAGAAAAATTAAAGAAATTGTCCTAAATTGAAGTAAACATGTTTGTGAATTTAATTACTGTCAAGTTTTTGCATTATCAAGATTTAATTATCAGACTTTATTACCAGACTTTAAGCATGGATACATTTTCTAACTTTGACAGTAATTACTCTTATTTAAAAAAAATATAACAATCATAAAATGGATCAAATCAACTTTATACGCAATGCATCATAATTTATATTACCTCTGTCCTATTGGACATTTTTAACTTAAATATGTTTCGACACTAGATCGATGACATTAAAAATGGCGGTATGACTTTACTATTTTTGGTAATACTTAAATATATCCATTTATGAGAAAACACAATACCCTAAATTTAAAAAAATTGCCTCTTTTTACTCCTATTCGAACAATTTCCTAAAATAATAGAACGGGAAACCTTTAGTCTGAATACCAATTACCAAGTACTAATACCGTTGCACTAAGATTAACTCATCTTTTCTTTTCGGTCCATTCCACAAAGATGGTCTCATATGAAATTTGGTAAAGTTGTGTGGTTCTAAATTATTCATATTTTGTTTTTTACTTTATTAATTTAATATCGACCACATAAACTCACTTTTCTTAATAATTGCACTACATTCTCATGTTCCAATATTAGTACAACAAAATTAAATTCAGAAAATAAGAGTTAAGTTAGTATAAAAATTTTAGAGCATCTCCAATGATTCATTTGGAGGACTTGCTTGAAATTTTAAAGCTAATAGCTTGCCATTGTAGTATATATTGCTATTCATTTTACTTGAGAAGATAATTAGTCAAAATGAACTGCTAGTATGAATATTGAGAATTATTAAATACTAGTTTTCGCAACGCGCGATGCGCGATGGAGATTGTGCCCAATGTGTTTTCATAATAGTGGTAATGGCGAATGTGTAAGAAGGGGTGTTTGGGATATATGCTAGGGGAAAATGATCATGTTTGTGTGGTAGTGTGTGTACAACATGTATTCCCTTTTGAAATAACATTGAAATAGAACTCCCAAATAGAGTAATGAAAATTTCATGATTGCATTATTAGGGTGCAATTTATTAAAATGAGAAGAAATAGCGATAATATTGTATCATGGAAACAAGCTTAGTAGTGTATCATGGGAAAATATGTTTATGGTTGCAGGAGAGATAACATTCAAAAATCAAAATGGAACATAGTTCTGCAAAAATGAAAGTATTTGAATGTAATAACACATTTTGGTGAGTCGTGGAATGGTTTGGATGGTTGTGTATTTTCCGTCACACTGTTTTGATGCGTTTCATTGGAGGACTTGAAGTGCTTGTGCTTTCATTGGGTGCAGTGTGATCGGCAACATTTGCTTCATCCATCTTTATTATGTGCAACGAAGACTCGTGCAAAGATGTTATGATATAAGATGTCTTTGAAGTACGAGGATAGTTGTTTTTTGAACTCCAATTGTCTGGTGAAGACCTCAACTGGACTATGTACTCTTCCTTAGCAAGGCGCTTGTTTATGTATGGGAATGAAGCTTTTTTTCCCTACCAAGTACAAAAGAATTTCAATGAGTGGTTTCATATAGAATTTAAACCTAGTAGAAAATTAGACTTTGACAAATGACAATGTGTATATTATTTATATTTCTACAGGACCCAAATTCCATAAGAGATTATGCTTCATTTGATGATTTTGTAAAAAAATCTATGGTATAGAGTTGGCGAATAATCTTTTGGGTGACATTTTTAATTAATTTTACAAAGTAGTTAATGTTTTTGGCAATAGGAAACAAATGCAAAAAACAAATTCAAAAAACAAGCATATTTGGTTTCATTAAACGATAATTTAATTGGGCGGTATTGTGGATGGTGTTACCTGTGATTCTATTTCCATGACTTGCTTGCTTGTCATAAGCAATAACTTTTCAGCGCACAAGCCAAACATTATTCCACTGACAGATCCTGTCTCATCTTCGATTGTGACATGTAATTTGGCCCTGCGCGAAGGTTGTAATATGATTTTTTGAGGAAAATGACGTATACTTATGTTGTATGGTGTAATACAAGTGGCGTACTTGCCTTGGAACGCCATAAGCATTTTCTTGACCGCAACTCATGCAGTGAAATATTGCATCACAACCAGCGTATTTTATTTTGGCACAATGGCTACAAGCAATATACCAGAGGCTATAGTTTTCTAAGACCAAAGTGATTGTGCCTTTGATCCAAATAGGCCTTCCCTGTTATTGTTTATAGATTACACAAATTACAATGGATAAGTCACAGTAATGTAATGGATTTGAAGTAATTTATAGCATGGGTTACATAAATTTTTGGGTGATTTATTGCATACGTCGTCAATGTTTTTTACGTTGTCAATGGTTATTAGGAAAAACATGTCATATAGGCATTGGGAGGGATGAAGTATATAATAACAACATACTTGAGGAATGATAGCAGGGACTTTAGCTACTGGGGTGATTGTTTCGTTGTCAGGATTTGCTAGGTGGAAGCCAGCATCCAAGAACTTGCGACCAGCCTTCACAGCATCGAGGGTGGACTTGTGGTCAATAGCCCTACACGTAGGTTGATCGTAATCAGTCACATGTTATAAGCACATATGTAGATACAACATATTCCCGTAACGTTAAAAGGGGAAAGAATGGTGTGCATATTCACGCTCAACAATTTAAGGTATTGGAAGAAGGGAGTTAGTTGTTTCCTATTCAACTCTTTACCATAGATGCTTCGTACTTTAGGATTTAGCCGATTATATGGCATTCCAAGAGACTAAAAACCAGATATTTTAAACTAAACAATCATGTGGATGCTTACAAGGCACAAAGAAGGCCTAGAATAAAAACCCACGGCTAAAACCACTCTTAAACAAAAATGCATCTCAGATATTACATTTAATAATCACACACCGCAACATGGGAGTGAAACCTCATTGGATAATATTCCAATGACCTGAAATAATAGATTAGAATAAAATATATGAGAACTAACTTTAGTTGAGCCATGGAACGCAATACCTATCATCTTATAGCCTAAGTCTCACACAGACCGGATCCCATTAAAATCTTTGCCATAGTGAAATTAATCATTTTCCCAAGACATCAAATCTATTTTGTCAGCACTCCACACACATAGTATGGTCAACAGTATAATGTCGTACTTTTCTAAGAAGATTTTTGGATTTACTTCGTATGTAGTTATATTGCCAAGAGTGGTGATCATAACCAGAAACCTAGCCACCTATATTAAGAGTTATTTGTTTCACACTTTGTGGAAGAGTGAAGACTGCATACTCCATATCTTGGTGTAGCTGAAAACTATTCCTATAGTTAGTAAATGGTATGTTTATTTGCCACATGTAGGCTAAAAATAGGCTACAAAATATACAATGAGGTTGACACATGAACATATCGCATTGTTAGATGCTAAGTCAAGAGAGAATGTAATTCCGTATGAGAATAAGCTATGGTATAGTTACTCACTTTAACCACTCAATTTAATAAATAAAATTAGACTACAAAAAATCAATTTCAATTTTCTAATGACCTGCCTTCCTCTTTGTCTCCATGTCAATTTTGCTTCTAGTCATTACAATAAATTATAAGGCCTCTATTATGCTTAGTTACACACCTGTTAATACTTGAAACATGGAATATAGCGCCTTTTAAAAAGACAAATGACTTAATATTTAAGACCTTTAAAGGTAATTAAAGTATTACCGAATTTGGTAAAGTTTATATTACTCTAAATCATTCTTACTCTATTTTTATCGATTAAATATCAACTATTTTGAATATTATTATTAAACACGTACAAATACATCAACTCACAAGAGACGTACAAATGTGCAAAGTTCCGTTTAAATTTGCAGATATAAATACTATACGTGTAAGTCATATTTTGAATATTATTATTAAACACGTACACATACAGCAACTCACAAGAGACGTACATATGTGCAAAGTTCCTTTTAAATTTGCAGATATAAATACTATACGTGTAAGTCATTTACGTGTGTTTTATCTAGGCCTTATGTTTAGCTAAACTTTAGCTAGGTGTTGGGCAGTATGTAATTGTATATATGGTGGTATTCCACTCATCAATAAACAACGATTTACGAATTACGATCCAAATAATTTCCTTACTCTAAATTTGAGAACTACATTAACAACGTTTTAATGATTTGTGTGTCACTGCCTCTTATCTCATTGTTAGTGGGATGATGGAATATTACTTTAACTTTGAATTCTTATTTTCATGAAATCTCAAAAAACATATTGAGATACATATTAATCACTTAATGAATTCTTTGAATATTAAGCACTTATTAGGAAAGTGGTCTGTTTAATAAAAACAAAATACAATAGTTACAATTTGAAAAGGAATAAAAGTAGACTAACTGGAATAAAATAAAACAGCAAAACACAGGAAAGAAAAGAACACGTTGGAAAGCAAGTTGCAGTTCATTTGTTGCAATTATTTAGAAGATCGATAGATAGAAAGCAGAATGGAATAATAGGGAAAAAGAAAAATATGTAGTGAACAAGAATAGTGCAGTCATGGAAGAAAATAAGGTAGACATTACCATTTCTCCAATTCTGCAGCACGAGGCAAATCAGAATTCAGAGTGATTGTTGAATGAGACATTGAAGTCAAAGATATCCCTATGTATTAAGAGCAAAATTAGTACTTGGTGCGAATATGTAATATACATTATAGGGTTGTGTAACACCCCCAAATTTCCCACCCAGAAAATAATACTTTATTCAAAAGAAATATCAACTTTATTCGAAAACATCAGAGTTATGCAGCGGAAAACCAAAAGGGAAATAGGGGCGTTACCGCCACACTCGGCTCTAACCTAACCGAGTGCACAGGCTAATCACCACAGAAACAATTAAACTCAATAAGTGTCTTGAAAATTAAATTAAGCTACAATGTTATCTACTAATTACATTTTCTCTAGCGGAAGCTCTCTCGAAATCAACATCATCAGCAAAGCATTACCTGTACAAAATCAAGTACAGAAAGAAAAATAAAAGAAAACAAAAATTAGCAACAATGCTAAGTAAGTTCCACCTAACCCCATAAAATAATATAATTTAATATCTTTGAAAAAAACATTTAGGAGGAAAAATCTTTTTAAAACAATTTATAAAATCTTCTCACAACATAATTCACTAGTAAAATAATAGTACTTCAAATATAAGTAAATATTTCCAAACCACAATAATTACAAAATACCAAATATACATAAAGTATCAAAATCATTACAATAATTCCAAAGCATAAATCAAACATCAATTATTCACCTCAAATCTCAAAATACTTATAAATACTTATAAACGATATTCAACATAATCAAACCGAATTAAATCCAAAAGTATTTGTACTTTGAAATTCCACAAATAATTTGGTAATTCAATCCAACTCAATTTCAATCTGAATATAATACAATCCAATAATCCAACAATTCAAATCGAGTCCAATCAAATATAATTCTTCTCAAAACCTCATTTGTAACTAAACTCCCTATGTACATTCGAAGGGCGGTGCTCAACATTTTATTGAGCCCGATGGTCCGTTGTTATGTACGGCCACCCCGGGACTTTTGCCGGTACCACTTCTAACCTGAGGAAACTGAACCTCTACCTTAAGTGTGCACACCCTCTAAAAGGGATTCCAAGCCCTCCGAGTAGTAAGAAGTCCAAGTAGTTCGGACGTCAACGTCCCCCTACTCCACCAAAAAGGGATTACCCTATATAAGTGACTAGGTTACTGCTACTACTGAATAATAGGGTCTTTTGCCCGAATTTTAAATACAATAACAACCACCAATCTCCACAGTCAAGGTCGTGGACACCAAATCCCAACAAGTAATAGCAGTCCTAATCACTCTCCACAGTCAAGGTCGTGGAGGACACCGACATCCCGGATTTCTCCCGTGATGCCCTTACATTGAAAGGTTCATTTTATCTTTATTATTTTCCAAAAATTCAGGGATTACTACTCACGTAATTTCCCCAAAGTTATTCAACATTCAACAATGCATCACATATTATACATAGACATAAATTTCCAAAATAAGGGTTAATCGATCCTTTAAACTCGAAAATTCCCAACATGATTAAAATATAGAATATTCCATAAATAGCTCAAATCTCAATCCCAATAATGATTAATACATAACTTCAAATACTCAAAAATATCACACAATATTCAATACTCAAATCTCAAATATAATCCTCAATAACAATCCATAAATAATTCTAAATACTCAAATACGAAGTATAAATGTAAATGCTAGAAATCTCACAAAGTACTCAAATAATTTCAAATAAATAATCATATATATATTTACGAGGAAAAGTATAATTTTGGTTGATGTAGAACTTACCTCAATCGCGATAATTCCCAACCAAAGCTTCTATATCTCAATCTTTTCCAAATTCACCTTCTAACAATATTAAAATGCTTTAATTAATAACTATTCTAGCCCCTCACTAATTATCACCCGATTATGATTAATTATCTCACTATTATATAGTATTTCAGTCCAGGTTATATAATGAATAGGTCCAGCCCAAAATAAAAGTAATTGATACGTAGTTTCCATTCTTTTCTTCTTCTTCAGAAAGGGAAGGAAGTATGTACATACGTACTGTTCTCAGTCGTCTTCGCCTTCGGCAACTAGACGCAGGGCCAACGGCGACAACTTCGGCTCCTTCTCCCAATGATGGCATCGCAGTGTCACAACGGCCAAACAGGTGCCCGGTTGACACGAATCAGCAGCTGCGATCTTCTTCCTCCTCCAGCAAGGGATGGTCGTCAGTCCGGCCGGCTCTCAATGATAGGCTGTTCTTCTCACCTATGGAAAGATAGCAGTAGTCTGATGATCGACGGCAGTGGGTGGTATCTCCGGCGTCTCTTTCCTCGTCGTGAAAACGACCTGGTAGTCCGGCATAGTGATACACCGGCTGTTCTTCCTCTCCAGCGAAGGAAACTGTCCGGCAACTCAGTAGATGACTTCTGGCGTGGTACTCTTCCTCCGGACAGCGACAAACTCTCTGGCCAGGCGGCGTCGTTAAGGCGTATATTTATATCCGTAGATGAAGGGCTAGGGTTTTATCAGTGAAGAAAATTCTAGACTGTCCCATTTATTAGCTTCGTCCATTGAAAATTCTCCGTATTTTATTTATGCAGGTATGTTATACTATCGTGTGTACGTATGACCGCATGTATATATGTGACATACGCACCATATGTATAATTATGAGTACGTGTTACGGATTATTATGTAAAATACAAATATGTACGTGTGTATGTATACGATTTCTCCAAAATGTAATGTACGTGTTATTTTACACATTTAATTTATTGAACATTACTCTTTTTAATAAAAGTCACTTTCATCATAAATTTTATATATATTTTTTTCTCATTAAATTATCACTTTTGAAATTTTAGTTTTTTTTAGTTAATTAAATTATCCATTTTATTTTATTCAATTTTTTTTTTTGGAGTGTCACAGGTTGTAATAGTACCTTTGAAGTCGGTAGCCTTAATGTCTTCTAGGCTCACTATAGGATACTTTTTTTGAGTTAGTTCCTCATAGATTTCAACTCCCTTTGTTAGCGCCAACTCATCCCAAAGTGTGAATTGCACTGGTTTCAGTCTGTTGGAATTGTGATGGATTTGTATGAGTGATGTTGCAAATAACTTCAACAATATAATAAGATTAATCATAGGTCCTACTTACAGTTCATCAACCACAATGAAATCCTTGATAGACCGGACACCATTTGAAGTCGGCTGGGTTTCTCTTGGAAGTTTATCAATTACAACAACAACCATTGCTACAATATTAACAATGGTATGAATAGACTTCAGTATACAATTTTTTAATAATATGTAAAGCAAGGAATTTTAACCGTGTATGTTGTAATATATATTTCAGCTTGTTTAACGTGGGTGCGTGAAATTTGTGTATACAGGCAATGTTGCTTACATATGTCCCGCCCAGTCTTCATGTGCTGATATAGGTCACTGAATTTGGAGACCCTTTTACTCTCAAAAACTTCAACTTCATTTGCATGTTCACATGGTTGAATAGCTGTTCTACGATTGAGAACCCATGTGAACCCATACCTCATATCTGGCACTTTGTAGGAGTTCTGTGGTACGCGAACATGAGCGTTCGAGATGTGATAAGACGAATTGAGCTTCATAGTCATATCATACATCTCTACGTCATGGTCAAATACCATGGCTGAGACGCGTATGCCCTGTAAACATTTTAAGCATTAAAAATCGCAAAAACATAACATGGACATTTCATAATGGCCTTTTTTAACAATTGATATGAAAAACACTACTTTAAAAGCACATGCAGAAACAATGGTAGTGATTATTTAGTGATCAACCATAAATTCATGGACATTTCATGTGATCTCTCTTTAACATTTGATATTCAAGCAAATACTTTAAAATCACAGGGAAAATATTGGTAATGGTTTAGGGCAGATGGTTGCGGCAAGACTCTGATCTCTTGTCTAAAACATATTGTGCTCGGTTCAAACATTGTGTGTATAACAAAATATTCACCTTTTCAAAGCTATATTATGTTAGCTAAATTTCATCACATTATGGCGTCTAATTTTTTTATTTCCAACTCCTTTGCAATTTACTTATGCTGTCTAATTTTTTTATTACGAGAACTAATAGTGGAACCTTAAATAGAAGCGAGCTTAACATACTAATTCGTAATCTTAAGTCAGGATCTTAGCAATAAATGAATGGATGTATGGATGGCAATTTGGCATTGTACAGATGGAGTATAGGACGGTGTGCGTGGAGCTGTTGCTGCTACTGTGATGTGGCTTATGATAACACACTCATCATAGTCACGTCGTTTTTCGTTCGCGTCTTCCCACGTTAGAGGTATATATTTTCCGTTATCTCATTGGAATTTAGGGATCTGTTTAGAACTGGGAAAGCTAGGAGGACAAAATAGTGAAGTATAATCTATCTCAGAAGTTTTTACAATATTCGGATACATTTTTTTTTGCGGTTCCTCAGAACATTAAAGTAGCATCTAATTTGTAAGTTTTTATTATTAGTATTGATTTAAATAAGGATGGAAGAAGTATAGAATATCTGTAAAATTTATTTGTTGGAAATTTGTAATTTTGTCAACTCAATTTATAACATGGTATTTCAAGGATGTCATCAATTGATACTATGTTTGGATTTTGTAAATATTTAATTTGTTTTATTGATTAGGAGAAAAAAGGTTAGGAGAAAAATGAGTCTAAAGTTTGTTTTGAAATTGCAACTCTAAATAAGGAGAAGGACAAGGAATTATTGGAAAAAACATGTTAATTAGGGTGCTAATAATAGTTTGAGAAGCTCAAGCAAAACCTGGTGCTAGAACAGACATGTAAATAATGCATGAGATGTCGTAAAGGTAGTATGGAAAATAACACTGTTTGGCCTCACTAAGCCTATTGTCCCTAACAAAATTCCTCCACTTTGACTACTTTCCAGCCATACTTAATTTTAAAATTATGGTGTGATATGTGTCTAAAGTGGAGGTAGAACGAATTAACACTCATTAAAGAATTGGGGAGTAGTTTTTGGGCTGAAGTAAACTTCCTAATTCTCTATGTTCTAGACCTCGTAATTCTCTATGTTGAACTCCCGTATAAAATTTGTTCAGCTTGTTGTTCAAATTGATCATATGTGTAATGAAGTATGAAATGTACGAATTATATATTTAGAATCATGTAGTGATTCTCTCTTTTTATGGATTCTTTAAGAAACACGTAAGAATAAAACTCCAATCTGAGTGTTTGTTTATTTTTTGGAAAATTAAAAACTCTGTATTAAATTTGATAAGTATGTTTGTAGCTATCTCAATAAGTAATCATATTTCGTAAAAAGTAAATGCGTAGTAATTTTTCATGAAAATTTTGTATAGTACGTGGTAGTGCATCGAGGAAGAAGCATTTACATTTGGTATATTTACAATCATAAGCAATTAAGCACTTTATAAGATATGACTTACTTCCTTATCCTCAAGGAACATATGTAGGTGTCTCTTCCCAGTTGTTGTGTTATGCTTAGGTGCAGACTTATGAGCGACACGAACCTCACATGTCCACATGGGTGTTTCAGGCTTCACATCAACTAATCGGTGCATTGTTGCCATTGAACAGGTCCTGTAAATAGAATACGTATTTGGTTAACGTAAAGATATGTGTGTGTATATAAATGAATATGGGGAAAGTGTGATTGTAATTTGTATGGTTCACCTTTGTTCACTGTACAGTGGCTAGCGCTATTTAATATTTCTTGATACACTATATTGTGTGTCCAATTTGGTTCGCATGGGCGATCTTTGTTGCATATTAGTATTTTTAAACATTCTGCTCGTTGCGCTCTTGACATTGCAACATACAGTTGCCCGTGCGAGAAAACCGGTTCCCTTAGGTATACGCCGACGCAGTCAAATGTTTGCCCTTGAGACTTATTTATCGTCATGGCAAAGCATAGTTTGATAGGAAATTGATGACGCTTAAATGGTATGGGACAGTTGTCATCGCTTGATGGTTGGAGAGGTATTTTTGGCAGGAACACATGTTTTCCCACATGCTCACCGGATGCTATGGAACAACTAATGACATGGTCACGAAATTCGTGACATATCAAACGCGTGCCGTTGCATAGGCCCTCTGCCGGGTTTAGATTCCTAAGAAAAATCACCGGACAGTTTTTCTTCAATACCAATTTATGGGGGGGTAAACCGGGTAGGCAAATGGTGTTTAGGAAATCACCGTATTCGTTGTATGTGCTTGAATCGAGCAACTCATCGTAGCTAACGTAGCACCGCTCTTCCCCGGGCAATCGATGGATTAATATGTCATTCAAGTTCTCGACATACTCATTTTTTGGGGTAAGAATACCCCGGCGCATCAGTGGGTACGGGTCGTCACAAAACTTTGACATATCAGGATACACATGGTGTATTAGTGCATTCAAGGACTCGTCATCGCCAGTGTAAGGAATGAGAAAATGATGTGGAATAGCAATTGTTGAGTCGGAAACATATGTTTCAATTCCATTGCCTACTCTCATTAAGTACTCACTGAAGCCCGGATCAGATATCGCTCTCATGTTTTCGGTTAAGACTAACCTTTCAGTGAAGGGCCATATGACATGAGAATTGACCAAGCTCGCCTCAATGAAATCTCTCTTTCTGCCGGATCTAATGACAGGCAATGTTTGCCGGAAATCCCCGCCAAAAACCACGACCTTGTCCCCAAAGAGTTTTTCACAATTTGTGATATCCCGCAAAGTCGTCTCGACATTCTCTACAGTTCTTCGATTTGCCATCGTAGCCTCATCCCATAAAATTAGTTTGCAATCACGTATTAACGATGCTTCTGCACTTTGCTTTCCTATGTTGCAAACAAATTTATCTTCCACATTAATTGGGATTTTGAACCGTGAATGTGCTGTTCGGCCGCCCGGCAATAGAGATGCAGCAACGCCTGAAGTTGCTGTTGCAAGGGCAATATCACGATTCGACCGTACCTTTGCTAAAAGGCACCTATACAGGAAAGTCTTGCCGGTGCCCCCCGGGCCATCGACAAAAAATGTACCGCCTTTGTCAGAGTAAACACGCTTGATTATAGTGTCGAATGCGGACCTCTGGCCGGTGTTCATTTTTGCAATCGCGGCAATATCAGAATCGGTTGGCAACAGACTTCTCTCTGCCTGGATTTCTTTTTGAACTCGCTGCTCTTTTGTAATGCCAACATGGTATGAAACAATTGCTAGGTCGTTGATATTTTTCCCTAGGCACAAGAGAAGGTCATTCAAATACAGTAGGCATTTGTGTTCCGCCTGAGATATATCTGGACAAGTTCTGATCAGGTCTTCGCAAAGGTGTGCCTTGAACTGCAGCCAGAGCGATTTTGGGTTAGCAACATCACAAAAGGCCAAGACTGTCGCAAACAGCCTGCGAAAAGTGGATGGCATTTGCCAACACGTGGCCTCTTCGAGACAGTGTTCGATGTCTTGGTTACATTGTAGCAACCCAAGTTTCTCGGCGGCTTCTCTAAACGTGGCAGCAGTGTATTGCCCAATTGTT